AGCACACCTCGCTTTTCAGACCGATGAGCTTTGTAAAAATCGACGCGTTTCAGAAAGGCGGGGCATAGAGGAGAAACAATAATGTACAGTATGTGGAAAACAATGTGTTTTTTTTAACCTTAAACCGCATAAACACATTTCTTTACACCAAATACACCAAATAATGTTCTTTTTAGCAACATCATCTGACCCCTTTAAAAAGAAGTTGTTGTTGTTAGGGAACAAGTAGAGTGAGTTGGAGTATAGTTGTGGAGCGGAATGGTTGTCTTTTGGGTCCATTTATTGGCATAGCCAAAAGTTTGTTTGTATATAACCTTTGAATTTTTTTTTTTTGGTGTGTACTATTTTTGGACTTTTACTGTAAATACCATTGGCACACCAGTGGGAAACCTTCATTTTTGCACTTCTGGGAATAAACACTCAGAACTTTTGACTTCATCGTCACGTCACTTCATTTTTACGCCTCCATCAGCCGGTACATTTAGAGCAGTGGTGCTTATACTGTTTAAAATGTCTGTGGGACCCTTTTTCTGCAGTTGACACACCTCTGTCTCTCTTACACACCTTTTCTATAGTTTTTGTCATTGATATATTGTTTTATTGTATTTTATGGCATGCATTATACCTCTTTAATGTGCAGTTATCTAAAGTTCTGGCTAGTACTGTACTGTAAAAAGTAAGCACTCTGCCGTCACTGTAATATTTCACTGTAACAGTACTCAAATATTTGGAGGTCTTAAGCACGTATATGATAAATAATTAGTTGAGATTAAATGTTAAAATGTAAATATAGTATTATTATAACCAGTAATGTTTTATGTTAATTTATAAATGAAAATGTCACAATTCCAGCCTTACTGAGCAATGGTGCAAATCTTCCCCTTGCACCACCTGGTGGTGGTTTCGTGAGTGAGTTTCACGTGACTGGGTTGAATTTATCTCCACAACCTAAGAAGCATTCTAAGAAGCATGCCTGCAGGGTGCAGTGTGTCAGCACTTGATGAATTGTGTACTACTGTGTAGCATGCACATTCTTAAAGGCCACATCTGTATGTGATTTTTTTGAAGAACACAAATTTGAATTTATGAGTAAGAGATTTGTGGTTCAGGGTTAAGTATACTGTATTAATGTGAGTCTTTGGTATGTCACTAATTGCATTAACATGTTTTCTTTGAAAATGCCTTTACTAAAGTGTTCTTCAATTCAAAACCTCAGTTTAGTGATATCAAAGCATAATGTTTCCTGAGTTCTGTTCATATTTGCTGTGTTGACATTGTCTTTGTTCCCTGCTTTAATG